ACTTCTACAATAAGGTATCAAATGAAAGGGCTCGTTGAGAGCAACTCGAAAAATGATGTGACGTCATTCTGAATCCAATATGGCAGACCATCCAAGATGGCGGAATAGTTATTTTTAATCTATTTTTACAATATGGGTATCAAATGAGATGACTCGTTGAGAGTAACTCAGAAAATAATGTAACGTTATTCTAAATCCAATATGGTGGAACTTCCAAGATGGCGGAATAGTTGTTGTTCATGCACTCCTGCAATATGGGTATCAAATGAAAGGGCTTGAGGAGAATAATTGGAAATAATGTAACATCACTCTAAATCCAATATGGCACACTATTGAAGTTTTTTCTGCTTTCCTGCGGCAAAAGACCTTGTAACAATGATGCGTTGAATAAAATGAACAGACAGGGAAACCTAGCCAGCGATAACTCAAAATTCAAAAATAAATTGAAACTATTGAAAATAAAAAAAAAATAATAAAAAAGCTTTTATTTTAACGGTCTCAAAAGAATAAAATAAAATGTTCCTTTATAACTCCAACTATCAACTTATAACGTCATTATACACAATTTATATGATCATAAAAACAGAGCAATGTTATTTAAAATGTATTGTTTTCAATTCTCAGTATCTGCGAACTTTTCAGAAAGAATCATTATATTTGTAGGCGAAACTACAATTTTTTTGGCACTTGGATAGTGACTAGAATCACCAAGAATCAATATGGAAGAGATATTACATTGTATTAAAATCAGAGAAGTATCGACGTGAAATTTGAAGTTTTTAACAGGAATGACACCTGTGTTGCAGGCATTTTCATCATTCTTTTGAAGTAATCAAATATCTGCCAGTCTAAATTCTGTGATTTGATTTTCAAAAATTGCGAATTTGGTGGTTGTTTAGTGATATACTTGACCGCGAAGTCGAATGGAAGATAAAAGGACTTGCATTTTTCGGAACTATAGCACAACGAAAGCCATCAACAGAGTATATACAGCGTGTCTCATTTCAAACGCCCCCCCTCTATATTTCAGCTATCTTTACCAAATTTGTATCGGTATGAATAATCATCAATATGACCAGTTCTTCAAAGACAAATATCATTTTAGACAGTGCCGTGCATTTTTATTGAAATGAATAAGGGTCAGTTTTTTAATAAATTATATTAGTCATTTTTTCGCAGAAAAACTGACTTCATTATGTTGTTCTTAATGGTTTCAAACTCACATATGTGAATTTTCATAAAATGCTTATGAAGGGTTTCAGAAAAACAGGCACATCCAAACAGTATTTTTGCGAACGTAATAATCATTTACTGGGAAACGGTGAGTCCAACATAAAAAAGTATAACTAGTTTTTCCTTCCAAATCATGATTTTACACCTATCGGAGCCATTGAACATTCCAAAATTCGTAGTTGATTTGAAGTTACTATTTATTCGAGACTGAAAATGAAAAAAATGAAGCCAATCCTGTTAATTCGGAATTAGGTGATTTTTTGCATATGGAGGTTCGAAAGCATGAGGAACAATAATATGAGGTTAGATTTCCTGTAAAAAAAATGCCTAATATGATTTTATGAAAAATCGACCCCTTTTTAGTTCAATAAAAACGCACGGCACTGTCCAAAATAATGTGCATCTCTGTAAAACTGATCATATTGATGGTTATTCATACCACACCAACTGGAAAAAAGTACTCACTTTTCTCCCGTGAGAAAAAAGTGATTTATGAAGAGTGACATTTTATAACCTGTCAACAGAGATGAAATTTCAAATATTTTCCTTTAACAAAAAAAAATTATTATTTCTCAAAGTTGTAAAATATTTAACCCTTTAATAGAGGGAACCGGAAAAACCCGCAAAACGTTTGTACACCAAATACGCGGGAGACGGATTTTCACGCACGTGTTTTAAACGCATTCATTTCGGGAGCCTCTGGCGTTCCCGTTTACGTATATTGATATGTTAAGATGCAACTAAACATGTCTCAACAGGATTTAACAATTGTGCGGTTTTCATTTTATTCAATATTTCAGTATCGAAGTAGTAGCTGCATCAGTTGGTTGGTTTTTATTTGTTTCAAGTGAATTTAAACCACGATGGCTCGAAAATATCTCAATGACGATCAAATTGAAGAGTTGTTGTATGCTAAAAGAAAATTAATTCTGCTTTGCGCCTTGCAATTGCATTTCCTCATGTATGAAAGGTATCACACCGCCAAAAATTATTAAATTCCATTTCATGTATGGGAATATTTTCAATTCATTATAGATATGAGGAATCGCACTATAACACTTCATTTCAAATAAAGACAGAAATAGAACTTATTTTGGGTTGAAATATGTAAAAAAATCGCATTCACAAGTTATCCTGTAGTTGCCAGAGACGGGTGTACACGACGTCCGTACTTGACTTGCGTATACCACGAGCAGGGCGTTCCCGCAACGCTAAATTTTCCCCGTTTTGTGAGCACGACTATCAAAATTTCACACGCAATGAAAGGGTTAATCACCAGCCAAATAATATTAAATAATTAAAATCTTCAAAACACTTCAGGTCTGGTATAATCGATCTAAGCACTAGCTTCAGATTTGGTGGCTATCAAGTCCCAGAGACATGTTTGGTCAAACAGGTAAATTTAGTGCAACAATTGGTCTTAACCAACTCATAACTACCTCACTACCATATTGTGAAAATGGCTCAAAAAATATAATACCATAATGTACTCATATGGGTGAAACCAAGCATGAGTTTCCATCTGTCAAGATCATGAAAGTGGTTATTTTGTTTTTATATGATGATTCAATTTGTGAAATTACACATTCAGATTGTCCAGAGGAATGTCCTGTATGTCATTAAACATACAGAGTGTTTATCAAGTACTTGTACAAACTTCAAAGGATTGATCTTTCACTGATTTCAACTCGGATTTCAAGTTAAAAAGTTCATGATATGAACATGGGTCAGCAATGGCTTGGTTTTAAGATACAGTGTACAAAAAAAAACTATTTGAAGTAGGCGGTGGTCATTTTCAGCAATTAATGATGTGAGTGTTATTAACAAGTACAGCCTCAGTCTTTTAAAATGATCTAAGTTTGTTATCTGACAATACAAGCAATTCAATATCAATTTTTTCAATTATTTTTCAAAAATTCCAATGCAAAAGTTCAACTTTAAACCAATTTTTATCAAAAATGAGTACCTTTTGTAAGTAAAATTGAATGGATAATAGGTTCCCTTAGTTGCAAATGACAGTGCGGCACAAACTAATTTTTGTAAATTAATCCAAGTACCATGCTATTGAAGGAAATATGATCAAAAATCCAAATAATTTTTTATGAAGCTCTGCATCTCAAAAGCCAAGCCATTGCTGACTACGGCTGGGCAATAGTGATTTTGGATTATTAATTATACATAATCACAATGTGTGGATATCATCAGTTTATCAATATTATCAAAATTATGGATATTATAGATATTACCAATATTATGGATATTATTGATATTATTGATAAATCAATAATATTTTATCTGAACTTTTATTGATATTATCATTCATTCAATTACTCCACTGCTTTTAGGAACATAAATTAATTTTCACAACACTCCTCATGCTTTTTTATGTAAATAAAGTCTATGTGTAGTTCAAAATCATTAAATTTCAGAGCTCATTTCAAATGTTATGTCATTGCCGCCATTTGGCAATACGTGGAATAAATAGTGACGTCAGTTTTTATTTTTATTATTGGTCCAATAATCTTCCATTTCTACTTATGAAGCAAGGTTGTCAAGTCACTAATTATAATCAATAACAAAATATCATGTGAATGTTGGAGACTTGGCAACATTGTGCTGAATGCTGAGAACTGACAAGACCACGCCCACAGGTCGTGCGCGGGGTTGTCACGTTCACCGATTCAAATGTCCTCTAGTGTGAATTAATATAATTATTATATTGTTTACACAAATTTATTATAAGCAATGAGCCACAAATCATAAAAAAAACATTTTGAGACAAATGAATATTTATTGCTAATTAGGAATATTACCAATACTCAATTGAGAATTCATGAATTATTGAAAAACTAATACTTATTTCTCAAGTTACCAATGGTATTTCAACATTTTCAACACATGGCAACTGTGCTATGGTCTGCCCCTACTTAGGAAATTGTTGCATCAGTTTTTATTACTGTTAAATTTCTAGCAGTTTGAAAATTGCCATGGCATTATTGATGATTTTAGCAAGTAAAAATCAACCAAAAGATATGAAATTGAATGGTATTTGAGAGATTATTCCATTAAAGAAATGAAAAAAATTAGTCCACTGGCCTATTATTGATATATAGATCAATTTGCCCACCCCTATGGTGGACCCATGTTCATATGAATTGTCTTGACATCAGTCAAAGATCAGCCCCTCGGAGTTTGTTCCAGTACTTAATAGGTATAAACATCCTGTATTTCACAGGTACTGCATTCAAAATTCATCATTTCTCAATTTTCATCAAGGGCTTTGTCTTAATTTCAATCAATAGAATATCATCTCAGAAGATAGTGACTAGACTACTAGATCCTCAACTTGATCCCACAACAGATTATTAAGATGGATAATGAAGGAGTAGTGCCAAAGTATTGAGGAAAAATTCATTAAAGAAATTTAATTTGACATGAAATTGATTTCCTAAAATGTTATAAGTAAGCAGTGGGGACAAAGTAAGTATGTCAATTTTTTTCAATACATTTTTCAATTCTCAAGAATTTGTGTTTCCAACCATATATTATGTATTTGGTAAAATAAATTACACATGATAAACAACCCAGAATTGCATTGTTTCACTCAATTTTTCCAGTGAATTAGAATATCCCCTTGTATAGGCAAATCTCAACAATGAGAATAAAGCACCAACAATATTTTCTAACTGTGCTGATGCCTTTTTACCTGTCTTCAACTCAAATAACTTTCATTCAACACTATATTTTTAGATGATATATAAACTTACAGTGTCTCATCATCCCTATATGGAATCACAGCTCTTTTCTGACCTTCATCTCCCTTTTCTTGAAAGTCAAAATATTTTTCAAATACTGATGCAAAGCAGTTTCGCTTCAATAATCCTAGTTTCTTAACAAAACCCTGCCAATCTTGGGGGATGTCTTCTAAATCTAACAACACAGAAACATTATAACCAGGCTCAGGTGTTATCAAATGTGATCCATATTCCCTCCTCAGTAGTTCATCTGCACCATGCTCTTGTAATTGCTTGTAGAATTTCAATGAAATGCTAGTCTGAAATAGTTAAACATCAGTCATGTCCATTCATGTAAAAAGGTAAGAAACATACTCTTATTTTAGACTTATCACCATTTACATTAGAGATATGATATAACACTCCATCAAAATCAGCTACTGTTATATCAATGCTTTCATTTTTTAATCTAGAAAGAGAAAATCATGATAAGAGGTACCTAGTACCTACCTATAATAAAAGTCAATACAAAGTATATGAGTCACTGCTAGGAATACAACAAATAAAGATAATAATAACAAGAATGTACCATCCTAGTAAATGCTCTGTGAGAATTCCACAGGAAATCGTAATGATAAGTTTATCTAAACCTACAAAACTCTACAAACCCCAATGTATAATATACTCATAGGATATGAGATACATCATAGCAAACACATCAACTTTTTATATTTAATATTGACTCACCCTGTTTGAGAATTTTTTATTTTAACTGTTAATGTTTCCTCAACTACCCTGTTATTTATGTCGAGTAATATCATTTTAAATACTTAATAAATAATGATTAATTTAAAATTAACAAAAATTTCAACTGGATCATACATGGATGGGAGGTGCTGGTGCTGAGCTGAACTTTTGTCACAGTTAATTGCGTCAAACGTCAGCGTCAAATCAAATGTCAAATGCGGAGAAACTGTGGCTACATGTCCGTTATCCGGACGTATAGTCATTGAATTAAAAAAAGTTTCAACATCTTCCGTAAGGATCGCGAGAGTATCGTAAATTACGCATGGCTGATTTCGCCTCCTTGCTGCTGATAAAAGCACTTATATGATCGGCTATATTCCGAAATCCGAATTCAACTGACATTACTGAATCTGCTGATTTTTCATTCTGAAATCATAAAATTCCTAATATTTCGATTGTGGTAGTGGTGATGTGGCTTCAGTGAACTGCCACTATGTTAATAGGGGAAGGAGTGTAACATTCATTTCCGTTGTTAATAATATTATTTTCAATATCAGAAAATACTTGCTATTATAAACGCTGAAAATAATATGTATGAAATAGTACTGTGGTAGACGTAACGAAAGAAGAAGCAGCATTGGCTGAATAAATAAGTAAATAAACCTGAAATGTCTCCAAAATTCATCATCATTTTGATGCCATATTACGTTTTCCATGAAACTTTCAATTCTCAATCTGGTGCATCATGAAGAATTAATGGCAACAAAATGTCCAAGTATTCTTCATCACTCGAACTTGAATCGTTATCGTCAACAATCGTATTGCTCTTCCATGTTGATATCAAATTTCCAAAATTTATATGCCCTCGGGTTTACCCAGAGTCACTGGTTTACCAACCGCGAAGTTGATTAAGGTGGTTAATGTTGAAGTTGATGATTTGTTCACGAAGTGAAAGATTGACAACTTTTTTTTTTTCGCCAAGGTGGTTGAAATCTTTTATAGACATCATATATGGGTCCAATCCCCCATATGATAGTGTGGGAGTCCCCTCCATGGTATACCCACTAAACACTCCACCCCGTTGCAGGCTCCGACGACACTTAGGCCTAGTGCCCAGATAGCACATGTACATCTTATGAATATACTATGGATATCCATCATGGATATTGTGGATGTCCATAAGATATCCGAAAAGGCTCTGGTATATCTTATGGACGTCGATAGGATGTGACAGTGTGACCTTTTTGGATGTCTTAAAGATATTCATTATGGACATCCATAAGATATCAACTATGGATATGAATGAGATAGTTCACCCTATATATAGAAAGAATCACAAAAATTGGGAAGCACTCACGTCTCACTGCGTTCGAATAATGTAGTTGTCAGTTCTTATGCACCATCAATTTTGGACGAATTCGTAGGAATCACTTCCAAATTCACTTCAAATTAATTACAAATATGAGAACATATTGACATCATTTGATTACTCCAAGGTTGGTAGAATCGATGATCTTTAAATCGCGCTGTTCGCGTTGAAAACCGAATTAATTATAATAGCAGATCACAATGTGTGCTATCTTTTGGAAGATCCACGCACAAGTGTTACTTTTGTGGATCTCCTTCTATTTATTTATCATTTCATTATTCATTGTATATACTTGATTTGAAATTTCTAGGTATTGATCTTTTGTCTCTGTATCTTATGGATATCCTATGGACGTATTCAGGACGTTTGTTTCGGATATCTCAAGTACATCCGCAATCGGATATCTCATGGATGTACATTTTATGTCCACGGATATCCCGCCTTGAATAGGACTTGAAATGGATATCCATAAGATATCCTGTGCTAACTGGGTGGCCCATTGTATCTCACCTACATGCCGTTATCAATTTCACCACATACGACTCATGGTGCCTATTAAGGGCCACTTCAATATGAAAGACCCTTCTCGTTCAGGTCCCTGAAGATTGCTATTCCGATCCCTGTTCTCGTCCACGAAGAAGGCCAAAAGCTTTCCTTCTCCTACGAGTGACGGGGGAAGGGGTTGGTCCAGCCCTGTGGTGCCCCCTGCACAGGGCTGAGGCTGTTTACTCTGGGATGTCGCCCTGTTTCCCAGAGGCCCCGTTAGCGGCACCATTCCTCGGTGCCATCCTTCCATCGCCACGGGTTCCCACAGCTTGGATTAGGTTGCCAGAGCCTCGTTGACCAGTCCTCGACCACCTATAGACAGACATCAGCAAATCGCCCCATCCCTGCCACAGATGTCCACAAATTGTCCCATCTGGCAGAAGATAGCAAAGATGGTCCCAAAATGCTTCATCTGTCAAGCGGCCGCGGCCTGACTTCCCCACACCACTTGGTGGTGAGGTTGGGCTTGGAGGGGAAGAGGAAAAAAGAAGTTGGCCAAGAAAGGCCGATAGAAAGATTGAAAACGGAAGAGAGAAGATGATATCTTCCAAGACAAGTTGAAGTATGGTGAATATCCGGCTAGGGTACCTCGGGTTCACCATTCCCGTACTCACAAGTTGTGAGCCCCTGAGGGGATTGCCAGAGCCTCGTTATCAATCCGCGGCCACATAAGCATCAGATGTTCACAAATTGCCCCATCCTCGCACTCAGATGTCCACAAAACTGTCCCATCTGAGTGATGACAGCAAAGATGTTCCCAAAATGCTCAATCTGCCGAGCAGCCGCGGCTTGTCCTCCCCGCACTATGGTGAGGTTGGGCTTTAGGGGAGAAGGAAAAGAGGAGAAGTGACCAAGGGAGGCCGATGAAGAAAAAGATTGGAAACTGAAGAGTGAAGAGGATACCATCAGAGACAAGATGAAGATTAATGAGTATCCGGCTAGGGTACCTCGGGATTGCCATTCCCGTACTCACAAGTCGTGAGCCCCTGAGCTAATGGAGAACTTTATGGAAACAATCAAATTTCAAATCAATAGAGTGGATGTCGATAAACGAGATACACGGACAAATATACAAAAGTTGCGAAATGGTGAGGTAGGGATTAGGAAAGTTGAATTTATTCAGGTAATTCCATGTTTCCAGATGACAAGCTCCTTGAACAATATGTTTTGGATCTTTATACAAAGAGGAGAACCTATACTATTGTTTGCTATATGGCTCCAACTATCTCTCTTCATCGGAAACATACTATATAGAAATATGATATTCTAGGTAATAAATTTATCCACCAAGAAATGAAGATGATGATTCGATCTCTTTTATCAAATGTAATAATCTGTCTTCCTCCTAATAACGAACGTAGGTCAAATCCTCCATCATGAACACAACTTAATTTTTTATTTTCCATTTTTATTGTCATAATGATGGAAATAAAAAGATGGTGTGCGTAGTTAGCCATTTTTACGTATTGAAATCCTAATACAAAATCACTCGACCGCCTACTATGATTTCTCTACGTCATATCGAGCGAGACGTTGATTCTAAATTTTCCGCTAGATGGTAATGCTGCAATTGCTGCTGTGACGAGTGGAAATTAAATGGCAAATGGCATTTTAGGTACGTGGAACATATGTAACTGTGGAATTATCTAACTCTGAATTGGAAAAATCTGCGGCAATTCAAAAAATTGACCGATATCATAATTGTGCAATGTCGCCATCTATTGGAAGAACGACGGAACCATTGCTCTCGCTGTTCTCGAGAGGTCGAGTAAAATTTCTGAAACAAAAGTACTTCTCTCACTCGTGTGTTTGCATCACTCGCCCTTCAGGCTCGTGCCAAAAACTTTCACACTCGTGAGAAAAGGTGAACTTTCCCCACTTGTTGCACAATATACTATTGCGATTTAGCCGCATCAAGGTTGGTAGAGCTGATGTTGATCATAAGTTCTAGGGTCAATATATTCAGTTGGTTCTCCAATGGTTCTAGGAATCACGCCATCTAACATTCAATATGTGAACCCCACGTTATCGTCTGAAATTCAATTGTTTATTTTTATTTATATCAAGAACCAGTCTTACGGAACAAGCAAATTTTCTGTTGTTTATGTGATTTAATAATGACTGGTGCACACACAAGCTTCCAAAGCTCATTTTGTACTTAAAAATGTATGTACTGTTCAAGGCTAAATTGATATTAATAAATAAATAAATTCTAGATTAGGTTAATATATTTGAAGAGGCAACCTTCCTCTACAAATAATCATCAATTCTACTAACCTTGAACTAACGGTTTACAGAACTACATCTACCAGACTCTTTATCAACTAATACAGTATTCTGTTTTATCCTGTAATATCCAGCAGAACTTGCAAAATTGCATTAACGCCTAAATGTGAAAAGATGGCGCCCCTACCTTGAACAAAGTACAGAATTTAGTCATAGATCGAAATACAAACATATGGTGCAAACATTTGAACATAGATCGAAAAAATCATAAATACAACATTCAGAAATTGCGAATTGATATAATTCCAATCTTACGTGCTTTTACATTGACTCCCTTATACTAGTCTGTACAATTGTATGCTGTTGCCATCTTTTGATCAAACACTCAATCAATTCTTTCTCATTACAGCATACAGATTCTATTAGTTTCCTCATTCTACGTCCTAACGTCGAATTTCCTAGATGTCACTACTGACTTCTTTGTCACACTTTACATGGTGAATATCTAAGCAACGAATAATGATTAAACTTTGGAAAAAATAATAATATATCAAGAAGAGTGACCCTAAAAAATAGCTGGGAAATATTTTTATGTTTCTAAAATAACCGCTAGGTGGCGTAGCGGCAATGAGTACAGAGAAAATTGAAATTTTCTCCGCATTTAGTAGTAATAAGGTGTACTGAAAATATGTGCAGTTTGATCCTTGATAAATTCCTAGTTTTTTTGTTCCACACTTATTGTCCCATCTCAAAAAATAAAGTAGGGGAACGTCAGATTATATTTTTTCTAAACGTCTTTGGTTATCTTCAACAGAATTCAACGACCCTGGGCTCGTTGGAAAGGCCTCTTCCTGTTGTATCAACTGTGATTTGAATTGGTTTCATATTCATATCACCGTTCCCGCTAGAGGGCGTGATCTAGAGTATTGATGGATATCGTGATTAAAAAATAAACGATGAAATAAATGAACTATAAATATCAGCAGACCAAAATCCGCAACATGATAGCTTTTCGTTAACGGAACATATTAACGATCAAATTTGTTCACCCTGTACTTTGCCAGCCACGCCTCAAAGTTTTTCAAAATG